TAGAGGCAGAAACTACCACGGTTGCTGCGGTCGTGGTTTAGCTCGGCTTCGGTCGTGGCACGGCTCACCACGGCGTCGCAGAGTCGCATGTCGTAGTCGAGGGCTTGAGGCCCAGGACCACCCTCGGCGTCCCAGTGCAGTGCCACGTCTCGCCAGCGGGTGCTGGTAGTGTGGATGCGCTCGGCGATCGACTCGCAGACGGTCCTGACCGTGACACGGTCCCTGTACATGTTGGTGATGGCTAGGGAGTAGGGTCGGCGGACCGTCTTGTTGAAGGTGAATTCCTCCTTGAGGGCCTGGTGGGGACTGAAGAGCACGTAGCCTTCCCTCCAAAGAGGTTGGTCGGGGAAAGGTTCTTCGGGCATCCCCGTTCCTGTGAATCCAGGTGGCCGCCTTGTGCCGTCAGGCAGTCCCTGCCTGGGGACGCGCCGCGGCTGCGGTGGGAAGTACCATTGACCCTGGTAACCTGCTTGCCCTGGTTGTGGAGGTTCCCCCCCGGGGCCTGAAGGCGCTCGGGGGGGTTCCTTAAGGTCGTGGAGGGCTGGCGCGTTGCCGAATTGGCGGGCAAGGATGTGCGGCGGCATCCCTGTGGCACGGACGTCGAGCAGGCTGTGTGGACTGGGGGGATGGGGGCACCTGCTGGACAGGCAGCATGTGTCGGAGTCCCTGTTGTTGGTGCTGTATGCACACGTCCAACTGTTGCACGAGTAGTCCGTGGACCAGTCCATGAGTGTACGCAGTCCGCTGCGGCCGCAGTCTGGGCACGTTGGTTGGCCCGAGGTGCCGAGCTGCGTGTTGCGGCGAGCCGCACAGTACTGACAGCATTGGAATCGACACTGTAGGCAAGACCAGCGTCCTGGTAAAGGCGGGAGCGCATGCTCATTTGTGCCTGGGTCGTCTGGGTGGGGTCGCGGGCGATCCCACAAGGGCCAGACGTCAGCAAACCAGGATTGGCCTGTAGTGCGGACAACCTCGGCGGGGAGGCGAGCGTCCTCGGCATGGCACCTGATCCACTGGGGCCCCATGTCCGCTGGTACCATGACGGTGCGCCAGGTGTCGTCCGCTTTGACGTGGACTTGGGTCGGTGCCCAGAGCTTAGTAGTGGTGTCGCCGTGGTCGTGGTGGAGGATGACCCAGCCGTCCCGCCCCGCCACCGCAGGGTCAATAACGCGGTGGCCCATGACTGTCGTCCCCCACGGTAAGTAGGCACCGTCGTGGTGATCACCAGGGTCAAGCCAGACCTCGATGCCAGGGGCATTGACACGGGTCCGCACATCACGGACGTGGTAGGCGAGGACGTGGTAGGCAGTCGGCTCCTCTTCCGTCACAATGTGCTCCCACGTCTCGATGCCACTGTTGTCTGCCCACAGGGTCGGTGCGCCTTTTCATCCGGCTCTTTTTCGCGGCTGCTTTTGCGAAAGGGCGCGTTTTTTTTGCGCCCTATCGCTGCGCAGTGCGCCTTTTCGTTTTTTCACAACCATCATCAACGACGTATCACTCACACCGAACATGCGTGTGTATACGTACACCCGTGCATGCATTCAAACATATTATTACACACATATATATATTTGTGTATATATACATATATATATACATGGTATGTGCATAGTAGTGTTAACTGTTATGTTTAGCTGTGTACACACATATATACATATATATACATGTATATACATATATATATATATGTATGTATGCATGTATGTATGGATGTATATATATATGTGTGTATATGTATGTATGCATGTATACGCATTTCATGTTTTATCGATTGTACACACTTGTATATAATGTATGCGTGTGCGACTGTGCATATAATTGTGTATGACGACAAGAATGTAGCACGCGCTGAGGCGAAATCACAATGTGCGGCGTTCACGACAACTACGGCCTGTGATTCTGCGGGATCGGCGGACTTTCCTTGCAAACAGGGGTTGAAAATAATTGTGTATGACGACAAGAATGTAGCACGCGCTGAGGCGAAATCACAATGTGCGGCGTTCACGACAACTACGGCCTGTGATTCTGCGGGATCGGCGGACTTTCCCTGCAAAGAGGGGTTGAAATAATTGTGTATGACGACAAGAATGTAGCACGCGCTGAGGCGAAATCACAATGTGCGGCGTTCACGACAACTACGGCCTGTGATTCTGCGGGATCGGCGGACTTTCCCTGCAAACAGGGGTTGAAAATAATTGTGTATGACGACAAGAATGTAGCACGCGCTGAGGCGAAATCACAATGTGCGGCGTTCACGACAACTACGGCCTGTGATTCTGCGGGATCGGCGGACTTTCCCTGCAAACAGGGGTCCTAGTTGTTTTGTTGGGCGTGGCAGATGCGAGAGCTCCGGCTTCTCGCCCCCTCTCCCCCTCTTCGGCCCAGAGCATGTCCGGCTCGAGTTCAGCGGGCCACGCGCCGAGGTGCAAGGCGAAAGAACCGCGCTTTGCAGACACAGCCGCCATAGTTGAAGCACTTCGGCCAGTGGTGACCAAGGCTGTGCCGATCCTCTTCACCCTCGTCGTCCTCTTCCTCGTCACCCTCCTCCTCATCCTCGTCCCCGTCCTCGTCCTCCGCCACCTCAGTGTTTCTTCCGTCGCCCTGCTCCTCTTCCTCTCTCGCCTCGCCTGTCCTTTGTGCTCGCACCAATATTTTCCTGGAGGGCGGGGGGTTGGCCAGCCAGCAGGTTGGATTCATCCAGTGCCCCAAGAACCCTGTCAGGAGCAAGCCGGTCCCCTCCAAAATGCGGATCCTCGCGCCACTAATTAGGCCCAGTCTCTCGACGACTCCGCCTGTTTTCGGTCGGTTCTCCTTCGGTCGTCTTCGGTGGCCAGTTGTCGGGTCAATCGTGGGTCGTCATCGGTCATCGGCCGTCGTCGTCTTCGGTCGTCGTCGTCGTCGGTCGTCGGTCGTCATGGTCGTCGTCATCGTTGTCGTCGTCGTCGTCGCGTTATTGGTAGTCGATCGGTCGGTAGTCGGTCGGTGGTCGGTCGGTGGAAGTGGCGAGGAGGAGCTGCGGAGTCCAGGGAGATCCGCAAACGGCGTCGCCACGGTTGGATCCGACTTTCCGAAATTCTGGTCACGAACGCCTTCAGCTCGTTCGTCGGGGAGGGAGCCGCAGGGGGCGGGGCCCGAGAAGACGACGACGAAGACGACAACGACGACGATGGCGACGACGACAACGACGCCGACGACGGCGTCGGACGTCGGCTCGGTCGTCGGCGGTTGCGCTGTTTAGGGTCTTCTGCCGCCAGGGGGGTATTTTCACAATGGTGGTGCCCGCGATCGGGCCAGCGGAAGGCTGCTCGCACAGCGTCCCCGAACTGTAGCTTCCGCCCGCTGTCGCTCGAGGATGGCTTGAAGATCATCGCCAGTGACCGCGGGTTCCTTGTCTTTAGCTGTCGCTTCCTCTCTCTCTCGGCTTACGCGCAATCTCTCTCTCTCTCTCTCTTTCTCTCTCGCTCTCTGTCTCTTTTTCTCTATCCCTCATTCTCGCTGTCTCTCTCTCTCTCTCTCTCTCTCTCTCTCTCTCTCTCTCTCTCTCTCTTTTCTGTCTCTCTCTCTCTCTCTCTCTGTCGCTCTCTCACTCTCTCTGTCTGCCATGTCTTTATCTCTCGCTCTTTCTCTCTCTTTCTCTCTCTCTCTCTCTCTCTCTCTCTCTCTCTCTGAGCGGGGGCATCGACGGTGCAGAGCAGCAGGGAATAGGGGAGGTGAAAGACAGAGAGTGAGCTATATATGGAGAGAGAGAGAGAGAGAGAGAGAGAAAAACAAAAAAAACTAGAGAAATAAATATAGAGAGAAGTATAAACATGAGGGAGAGAGAGAGAGAGCGAGAAAGAGAGAGAGAGAGAGAGAGAGAGAAAAGAAAAAAAAAAGAGATGAGAGACACAACACTCGCTCCGAGGTTCCCGCTGTCGCCCGACGAGCTGGACGATTGGGCGGAAGAGAACGGCAAGAGATTGAGAACGCTCTTCAGGCACGCGGCCAGGTACAGCAGGACACGCCGTTTCGATTAAGAAGGATGAGGGTGAAGGGGGAGAGGAGGTCGAGAAGCAGGAGGGAAGGAGAGAGAAAAAGATGAGGACGATGGGACGGAGATGGGAGAGTAGGAGGCGGACGAGGAGGAGAAGGAGGAGGTGGCGGAGGAGACGCGCAGGGATCACAGATGGGGTGCATGTCACAGAATAGGATCATTGCAAGACCTGGAGGGGGTGGGAAGCCAGCTATTGCCAAACCTACGCGCTCCCAGACGCCCCCCGAAATGGTTCCAGCTGTGCGGCCTCGGCTTGACCCTGAAGCAGAGCCCGCCGCCCTCGCAGAACCAGAGGGCCTCGCGCGAGCCTGCGACCAAGCCCAGATTCGTGGTTCTGGGGGGGTCCCGAGGCAAGGGGAAGGGCTGCGATGGGCCGCGGAGGCCGGTTCGTGAGAAGAGTAAGCCGATCAGGCCAGAAGTCCCAGATGGAGAGGGTGATGAGAATCACGACGGGGGCCCAGGCGACGACGGTAGCCACGGTGGTGGCGAGGGCCCAGGCGGCGAGGCTTCTGGCGCTGACGACGGCCCGCGCGGGCCGACCAAAACCAGAGCTTCAAAACAACAAATGGCACCGATCGGCACAGTTAAATCTGGTACGGTTTCGGCCATTGGCCCTTGCAGGGTCAGGTCCTATCCCTCGTCCCCGTCTTCCGCGTCGACCTATTATTCTTATGAATTTCTTTTTCCTCGTATTCTTCCTCGGGTTCCTCACTCCTCCGTGCAATGTTCTTCCTCCCCCTCTCGCACTCTGTCTCTTTCTTTCTTTCTCTCTCTCTCTCTCTCTCTCTCTCTCTCTCTCTCTCTCTCTCTCTCTCTCTCTCTCTCTCCCTCTCCCCCCCCCTCGCTTCCACGGGGGTGGATGGCGGAGGAGAGGGGGTCGGCGCCTTCCCCTGAAGGCATCGAGCAGAAGTGGGATTTCGATTACGACCAAGAGCTGAAGAAAGCCTTCCGCGTCGAGCGCCTCCAGAACAATCAGTATAAGGATTACTGCCAGATCATGTACCCGCCGAAGAACGCGCTCCCCACGGACGCGATGATTGCCCAGTGGTCCGACGGGCTCACGCGCAGTGTGCCGCAGGCGTCGGGGCATCTCTCCTCTCAGTTTGTCGTCATCGCCCTTCTCCTTTCAATCCTGCCAACCCCCATCCTCCATCCTCCGCCCGTTGAGGCCATCGTCATGCAGTTCCAGGATGCGCCCATCGAGCAACACGTCGACGCGGTCGGCAAGAAGACGAAAGGCAAGGGCAAGGGCAAGAAGAGTGCGCAGACAGAGGGGATCGAGCTGGTGAATATCAAGACCGAGGAGACGCACGTCTCCACGTCGTTCAAGACCGACTGGGGCAAAAGCAATTTAAAAAAAACACTGGGGAGAGGAGTTGAATGGGATGGAGTAGGAGGAGGAGAAGGGAGGGAGGAGGAGAAGGAGGATGAGGACGAGGAGCAGGAGGAGGAGGAGGAGGACGAGGAGCAGGAGGAGGAGGAGGATGAGGAGGAGTAGGAGGACGAGGAGGAGAGGGGAAGAGGAGAGGAACAAAGAAGTGAAGAGGAGAACCTAGGAAGGGGGGGAGAGAACGAGAGAGAGAGAGAGAGAGAGAGAGAGAGAGAGAGAGAGAGAAAAAAAAATTGCGGGGGACCAGCCAGGAACAACAACCGCAAGGGCTTTCCTCCTCAACGGCTGGCCAGGATCATGCAGGACGGCTGGCAGGTCTTGCAGATGGACGTGGCGGACCCGAGGGCCCCTCAGCAACACGTGGAAGGAGGAGGAAGGGAAGGAGTTGGAGGAGTGGAGGGGGAAGGCGTGATACAGGACAGCGTCGTACACCTTAGGCGATGCTTAAGAAAACTTAAATTTTCGGCCAGAGTCTCGTTGATTCTTAATGTTTCAATGTAAATCCTAAGATTTGAATAGTTTTTTGGGGTTTTTATTCAACTTCTGAGACTATGAATTTCTTAACCAATGATTTCTTAAGCATCTCGCAGGGTGTAGTCGTAATCGTCGTCGGCCAGCCGAATTTTCCAGCTAGGACTTCGCAGAGAACATCAATGATGGCGAGAAGTTGGCGATGGCCTGGTGCAACGACGTAGCGACGCGCCTAGCGAACAACACCATCACAAGAGAGGACGCGCTGCTGGAGAAGGCGCAGCAGACCATGCTCATGAAAGGGAAGCTGGCGATGAAGAAGAGGCCAGCAGCGGCAAGGGCATCAGCAGAAGGAGCCAACCTACCTCCTACTTCCTTAACTCCTCCTCCTCCTCCTCCTCTTCCTCCTCCTCCTTCGCTGCCTCTTCCGCCTCCTCCTCCTCCTCCTCCTCGAGCCTCACCCTGCTTCTCCTCGTCGTTCTCCTACTCATCCTTCGCCTCCTCCTCCTGCTTCTCCTCCTCCTCCTCCTCCTCCTCCTCATCCTCCTCACCTCCCTCGATCGTCACCCTCGTCCACGCACCATTCCTCAATGCCAACCGTCTTCCATGTGCTATGCCCTCTCCCCCCCCCCTTGAAAATGATCTGGCTTCTCCTGAGGGCGGGGTCAGGCCGGCAAGCTTTTCAACTGTTCCAATGTTTGAACCTAGACGAAACGGTCCTGAGCTGATACGGTAATCCGCGTCCCTTCGCATGGAGGGGCGGGCATGTAAGATGGTTGGGCCCCGCATCTTACACATTGGTTTTCCCTAGGAGGTGCGAAGCGTCCGCGGGGCTCCGAGGGCCAGGCCATCGGCGAGGACGTGATCGCGGACGAGGGCCAGGACATCGGCGAGGGCGAGGACGCGATCGTATACGAGGGCCAGAACATCGACGAGGGCGAGGGCGTGATCGCGGACGAGGGCCATCACATCAGCGAGGGCGAGGACGTGATCGTAGACGAGGGCCAGAACATCGGCGAGGACGAGGGCGTGATCATGGACGAGGGCCAGGACATCGGCGAGGGCGAGGACTCGATCGCGGACGAGGGCCAGAACATCGGCGAGGGCGACTCGGGGATCGTGGAGGGCAACTCCGAGGGCACGAACATCGGCGAGGTCGGGGGCAGGGGCAAGGGCGTCGCCATCGGCGCGGGCGGCACCGTGATGGCCAACGGCGCGACGATCGAGATCTCGGGCAAGGGCCAGGGGCAGAACACCAAGGGCCAGGGGAAGACGAACACGACGGCGCCCAAGACCCCCGACCCGAAGCAGGCCGCTGGGTCGCCAGTGCCTGAGAGGCACGCAGCGGCGCGCCCACCAGCGAGGCCGAGGCCCCCCTCGCCCGAGGGGCCATTCACGCTGGACATGTAGGGTTTGATTCGGGCAGCCCCGTCGGGCTGGTGATCTAGACAGTTGTCTAGAAGAACGTGGGAGTTGAAAAGAGGCCAGAGGAAAAAGCTTCGCAACGAAAGGATTAGATGCCCAATTAGATGCCCCATCGCGGAAGATAACGAATGCTATGCAGTCGGGGCCTTGACCCAAGGAACCCAAAATAAGGAACGAGGCCTTTTTTTCTATGCGTTTAGCTTCGACTTCCGATCGAAAACATAAGGAAAACCTGAGACAAACTGCGAAACACTTAAGGAACGCGGAGCCCCTCCCCAACGAAAAGGGTTCCTTCTTCAAGGCCCCGACTGTAGCCACTCGGGGCGTTCGGTGCACGTTGGCAATCCAGCCGTGGCGAAGAGGAGGGCAACGTCCAGCCGTGGCGATTCGGCGTAGCTATTTCGGGAGTCGTCCAGCCGTGGCGACCAGGGGGGCAGTGGGTGCTAGCGGGCATCGGACCCCGATCATTGAAATAATTCATTCGATGCAAGTGCGAGTCGAACGAATGCAGAACACCGTGCGATAACGACTCGAATGCGAACGCAGACAACACCGATCGAACCCCGATGCTGTCCTGAGCATTTTGGCCTCGAGTTTCTCCGCTGCCCCTCGGCAAGTTAGGGCTGGCACTCGACAAGTGGGTTCAATGGCCGACGCCGAGGGCGCAGCTGCTCGGGTTGCGCGGGGATTCCTTGATAACAGACTTCGGGGGCAATCCGATGAACCAACTCCTCTCGCCCTCTCTTTCGCAGCCCTCCTCCTCGTGCTCGTCCTCGTCCTCCTCCTCCTCCTCCGCCTCCGCCTACTCCCCGACTATCCTCCTCCCCCTCTTCCTCCTTCTCCCCCTCCTCATCCTCCTTTCCATCCCCCTCCCTCCTCCTCCTCCTCCTCCTCCTCATCCCTCACCTCCTCCTCTCTATAAGATTCAGCCTCCGTCCGCGCGCCGACCCATTGCGTCATTCTCCCACAGGTTGCGACGGTGCGCATCGTTTCGGCGGCGCCCAGGGCCCTGGCGGAGAATGACCAGCAGGACAGGCAGCATCAAATCCACGGGATAGCTTTTGGAGGATGAGGGGGGGGGGGTCTCGGTCATCTCGGATCCCGCAGGCAACATTATCGAGTAATGGGGTGACCAATCCCTTTAAGATGGTGACGTGGACAACGCGTGGCCCCCGCGTGGAAGGGGGCAAGACGGAGGGTGGTGAGATAGCCGCACCACCAATCGTTGCGATTGCCCCCCTCCCCCCACCACGCACACGCACGCACAGGCGCACCCACGCGCACGCGCACGCGCGCGCGCGCACACGCACGCGCGCGCACGCGCACGCTCGCGCACACACGCGCACACGCGCGCGCGCGCACACGCGCGCGCAAAAGCACACTCACGCACACGCACGCACAGGGCACGCACAGGCACACACGCACGCGCGCACGCACGCACGCACGCACGCACGCGCACACACACACATACACACATACACACGCACACACAAACACACACATACACACGCACACGCACAATGCGCGCACGCACGCACACACACACGCACGCACACGCGCGCACACACGTACACACACGCACGCACACACACACAAACACACACACACGCGCGCGCGCACACACACACACACGCACACACGCACACACACACGCACACACGCACACACACAAACACACATATATATACATATATATATAGTTGTATATATGTGTATGCAGCGTCGCCCATATGCTTGCCTCGAGGATCGCCAGAGCCACGGGTTCGAGCAGCTATCCCAGCGTGACGCAGCTGGGCCAGACCAACCCGTCTCATTGAGCGACAGCGACGTCGAGGAGACACAGACCGTCGTCGACAAGGGCCCGATCGCAGTTCAGCCAGCCAGCCGGACTCCGACTGTAGTTGCGACCAGGCCTTGGGTACGCCCGACCCCGACACTCGACGAATTTGTTCAGTATACTTTGGATCGCGAGCCCGTGCAACATGATGAGCAGCCCATTCGGCCGCATCGGCGGTGGCAGCTCCGCGCTCGCGGCGACGACAACATCAGCCAGCCTGCCGACCTCGACAGCGTGCCGATCTTCGCGATCGCCGCCCAGCAGGACACTCTGCCAGAGACGCAGCCACTAGGGGCCGCCGCGGAGCTTGCGACGCTGCAGTACGACGCCGTCGACCAGCCAGGCGGCGCGACCCCGCCAACCCCAGGCGCGCAGGCGAGCCTGGGTGCCCAGGCGACGCGCGCTGGAGCCTCGCCGCAGCCCGAGCCCAACATGGATGCTGGCGTGGCCCAGGGCAGCTCGGGCTCGGAAGGTCGCTCCGAGCTCAGCCAGCCGATGGTCGACGGTGGCTCGGCTGCTGGCCAGGGCCAGCGGGCGCCGAGCGAGGCGCGCCCAGAGGTGCTCGACGGCGCAGCCGCGGACAGCCAGGGCGCCGCAGTCGGCGAAGCTGGGGAGGAGGTGCCCACGGAGCAGGAGCTGCCAGACCGCCAGCCAGATATGGTGGACACCAACTCTTGTGACCACGAGCCCGAGCTGGACCCGAGCCAGCCGATGCCGCCCTCCGCAGTCGACTGCGCGACGCGCATCAGCAGCTTCGAGCAGGAGCCCAGAGGTTACATTCGAAAGATATGCGCTCTCCGCACCTGCCCTGACTTCCTCATCTTCTGGCCACCTCAATCTCCCGCATCATCCCCTCATCGGGGGTGCTGGGGGAAAACACAGGAGGAGGAGGAGGAGGAGGAGGAGGAGGAGGAGGAGGAGGAAGAGGAGGAGGAGGAGGAGGAGGAGGAGGAGGAGGAGGAGCTCTTCCATCGCCTCAGGAGATGGTGGCGCTCTTCAAGCAGAAGTTCAAGGGGCAGGAGCTGCCGACCACCGTGGGGGGTGCCCAGCAGGATGAGGAGGGCATCGACGACGACGTGTTGGAGGCGTGTGCGAAGGCTGGGTTCGACTTCGCGGCTCGGGGCGCCCTGGGAAGTAGATTCACGCGCTGGCTGAAGGCAAATGGACAGTGGGATGGGTTTGGCAGGCT